GGTATCTGTGCATGGGGTTCAACCACTGCAACCACCTCAAGTCCATCATCACCCAGCAAAAATCTGCTATCAGAATAATATCAAATTCTGCTTTCAGACAACACACAGCCCCCTTGTTTAACTCCCTAAACATGCTAAACATAATCTCACTCCACAAATTCTCTTGTGTCAACTACATCTACAAAACCTTGTTCTTAAATGCAAATCCTTGTCTGAAACTCTTCTTGGACAGACGTAATAGGACCCATTATCACCACACCAGAAATAAATATCTCTTTGATATCCCCAGAGTTAAACTTAATCTGTGTAAACACTCTATGCAAATAAAGGGACCCAGTTTATGGAACTCACTCCCTACTGAATTGAAAAGCTGTCCAACTTTTACATCATTCAAAATCAATACTAAAAAGTACCTAATTTCATCTTCATAGTTTTTCACTTTTTGCCTTAAAATTGCACTGTATCAATTGCTACCCAATCTCCCAACCTTTATGTTCCCAATTTGAACATCTTTACCATTGTGATCATTGCTGTTTTCTTATATGTGCTGCCAATCTGTTGTATGGTGTTTATAAATCTTGTTTATCTGTATCTTTTGCTACCCAGTCTCCCAATCTTTATGTACCCAATCTGAACATCTTTACCATTGTGATCATTGCTGTCTTATATGTGCTGTCAATCTGCTGTATGGTGTCTATTAACCTTGTTTAAATTACTAATCAAGCTGTCAATGTAATCAATCAGAGCTTTAATATAACAATGTGCTTTAATATACCTACTTATCTCTCTCATCTCATTTTTCTCTTGTAATGTATCTTTATCATTTATCAATTCTGATTGAAATTACCTACTTAAAATTATCTGCTAGATTAAGGACCTGCCCGAAACGCTGTGCGTACTAGTGGCTTTACAAGAATGTAAATACTGTACTATCCAATGTATTCTCACAAACCCAATGTACCTTCTTGTATATATATAAATAAATAAATAAATAAATAAATAAATAAATAAATAAATGTGGGCCACTGGTGCCAGCCTCTGAGCCGACGTTGCCTTCAGAGCTGGCATCATGTGGTTATCGCAGTGATCATTCTGTTCATTGGTCGGTTTCTCATAAAAGGCATCGGCCCTTTCGCGGTTCGCCCCATTGACAGGGCGATGGGGTGGAAGCTCGCTCTGTTTTCTTGCGTTTGGTCACGATTTGTGGGCATTTTCATTTCGAGGCTGATGGGTCAGGCTTTTTCCCCTGTGCTTCATCAGGTCTTCTTGGAGTGGGTGCGCTTGGGCGTGGTCGAAATGCCCCCATCCCTCAGGTAGGTTTCTTGGCTGTTTCCAATGCTGAAACGGGACTGTGCAGAGATCCTCGGTTCATTGTGGACTTGTCTCGTCTGAACCCCTGGATTCCTTGCCCCTCCTTTCGGATGACCTTTCTTTCTGTCTCAGGTTCGGCTTCTTTTGGAAGCGGGTGCCTGGGTTATGTCCCAGGGCCTCAAGGACATATATTGACACATTCCTATTAATCCGGGGTTTAGAGACTGGCTAGGTTCCGTGGTGGGGCGTCAGGCTTACCGCTTTCATTGCCTTCCTTTTCGTTTGAGTCTGGCACCTCGCGTTTTCATGTCTTATCCAGGTTGTGGTGACCCATCTGCGTCTGCTAGGGGTTCGGGTCCTGGCCTACCTTGATGACTGGCTGGTATGGGTTCCCAGTTGGTCTGCTTGCCTGCTTGCCAGGGATGTGGTTCTTTCCCAGCTCGCCGGATTTGGGTTCCTGGTGAACTGGAGGAAGTCCCATTTAGTTCCGTCCCAGGTTTAGACCTGGCTGGGTCTTGTTTGGGACTCTCGGACCGCTTCCATGTCTCTCCCCCTAGAGGCATTGCTGCAGCTGCAACCCTGCCTTTGGCTGTTTCTGGGGGGGGGGGAGGGGTTCTCAGCCCACCAAACACACACCGAAACTACGACGTTGGTACAACGTTCGAGCAAGTTTTAACACCACCTAACCAGTTATAACAACTAATATAGCAAGTTGTAACAACGTTCTAATACGTCATAAACACGTTAAGCCAAGATGTAACAACTTTATTTCAAGTTGTAACAAGCGGAAAATAGAGACAGTTTCGGTTTGTGTTTCCAGGGAGGTCACTTGGCGATTGCTCGAGCAGTTGTGTGAATGCTTGAACTTCACCGTGCTGGTCTATCTGCTGGGTCGGGTTTGGCTTCGGCATCTGTTCTGGTTCTTTCGGGGACGTTCCTCCTGCTTCTCTCACGATCTCTGGGTTCAGGGTTGTCGGGGTTGTGTGCTTGGCACCTTCCCCACGCCCTAGCTCGATGTGTTCATGGATGCGTCGTCTCTCGACTGGGGTTTTGTGACCAGTGCTCACCAGGCCGGCCAGGGGTGGTGGGGTCCATCCTTCTGTCGGGCTCAAAGCACGGTGCTGGAGTTCACAGCAGTTTGGCTGTCACTTCGGAGGGTTTGGGTCGCTCGGGGTTCGGTTATCTGGCTCCATTCGGACTGTTCTCTGGTGGTTCATTGCTTGAACTGTGGAGGTTCCCTTCGTTCCTTTCCTCTTTGGGGCTGGACGATACGAGTGGCTCATCTGCTGGCATCTCAGGGTTTGGCTCTCCATGTTGTTCATATACGGGGAGTGCCCAAAGTCCTGGTGGATGGCCTGTCCCGGTTCATTCCCCTGTCCATGGAATGGATGGTCCATGTCGACTCCTTCAGTTGGTAATGCCAGACTTACGGTCTCCCGGAAGTGGACTTCTTTGCGTTGGCATGGTCTCAGCGTCCTTCCCCGACTGCAAGGCTATCGCGATGGATGCCTTTCGGCAGGACTGGTCGAGGTAGGGTTACCTGTACCTCTGCCCCCTGGTCCAGCTGTTGTTTCAGATTCTGGATCGGTTGGAGTCCTTAGCTCCAGGGAGTAAAATCGATGCAACATGGGCATTGAGGGGCATCTGGCAGCTGATTGTACTGGGGTCGCGGCTACACCTGTTAATTTGTTCTGGGACGAGGATTTTCTCCCATTGGTGGCACAGGACCTGTCGCCTCGTGATGGAGTGGGTGGAGAGGTTCCCCTGCCGCCTGCTGACCCGGTGGTGGCTGTTGGCCCGGCATGTGTGGATAGTGGTGTACACGACGAGGTGGTGGTGTGTGCGGCTCCGGCCCCGCAGGCTGTCTCGTTGCTTCCAACGGCTTCTGCACCTGTTTCCAACTCTGCGCCTTTGTCGCCTTCGACGTCTCTGCAGGCTCCCTCCCCTGTGTTGGACCCTTCCCCTCCTGCGGCCGTGCCTGTTCCTTCTCCTGTCTCCTCTGTGGGTGGCGGTCTCATCCCCCGTGTTGTTGAGGCTGACATTCAGCGGTGTCGAGCTACCCCAGTTGTGGGGCGGCCTACCGCCGGCCCCTCTTGGGTGCCTCTTGCAGGGGGTGACAGCTCCGATGATCGCGTACGGATTCAGGTGCTTTGCCTCCTCGTTCATGGGCAGAGGCATGTGAGGATGTGGCGAGTGTTGATGTTTCTTCTGAGAGCTGTTCCTCTGTGGAGTGCGAGGATGATGCATCTGGTGCTGGTGTGGGTCCGGTGGATGGTGTGGGCCCTGGTGTGGCTCCTGCTGTGGGTACCCGTGTGGAGCTGATACTCTTGCTTCAGGTGCGTCGCCCGCGTCGGATGGTTCAGGTTCCCCGTGGGGGTGGTTCCCCCATGCGAGGTTAAAAGTGGACGTGGCGACCTGGTGGTGGTCTTGAAGAAACCTGCTCGCTCTGAGGGTTCCGTGCCCCCTCCCCCGTCCCCTGTTTCGACGGCGGCGGTTCTGCCGCCCCACACGTCTCCGGCCATTTCTTCTGTGTCTCCTGCTTTGTCGGAGGCGGTGTTGCCACCTCGGCAGCTCCCGCCCACTGTTCAGGCGTCTCCTGCTTCCTCGGCGTCGGTGTTCCTGCATCCCAAGTCGGGTTCTTTGTCTTTGGTGTCCTGTGGTTCGGTGCAACCGCTTCCGCCGCATGTGGTGATCCTCGAGTACATGGAGTACCCACGGTGTCGTGAGGGCCATTCCCCTACCGAACTGGAGTATTTGATATGGGAGGCTTATAAGCGACAGTATCCGTCGTGGAAGTTTCCTGAGAAATATCCTCCTTGTTGACTGTTGTGTGTTGTGGGGTTGCTTGCACCTGGGTGCGTGGGTGTGGGGTGGGGTTGCATGTGTGTGTCTGGGTCGGGGGGTTTTGTTTTTCAGTTCTGCGTGTTCCATTTTTTATTGCTTAGCTTGTGTTCATGTCATTATGTCTTGCTGCTTTGTGTTATGTGTTTTCCATTATGTTTCCTGTTATTTATGCTAATTTTCGATTTTTCTCTTATCTGTGTCCTATTTACTATGTTATATATGTTACTATGTTGGTTTGTACTATAACGATTTTTTTGTTTTTTAATTGGTTATTTTACTATGTGATGCTACTGTGTTCTGTTTCCTATGTTCTATGTTCTGTGTTGTGTATTGCTTTGTTGTATTCCCTTGTTGTTTTCATGTGTTTTCCTTACTATGTTGTATTTCCCGTGTTATATTTACCATGTTCTGTTCCTGTGTTCTCGATTCTGTGGTGTGTTATCTGATGTTGTGTGCACTGACGCTTTTGGCACGCCCCATCTGGGTTGTGCTGCTTTTGTTTTTGTGTGTATGTGGTTCTTATGTGTTTTCTGTTATTCCTTGTTTTCACTTTTGTGTTATGTTGATCTGTGTTACTTGTTATCTGGTTATTCTGTGTTCTTGTTATTCTGTGCTTTCCTGTTTCAATGGTTACTGTACGCTGTAATTACTTTGTTTTAACAATAAAAATAAAAAAATAAATATATGAATATCACGACAGGAATAAGGTTAAAGGAGTTCTGGAAATTCTTTTTTAGGAATTATCCAAATTTCAAATACCCTTGCAATATTCCACCAAGCTCAAAACTCTCACACTTATCACCAATAATTTGTAATGTATCATTTACAGTAACAACAATACTCACCTTAAAGTTTTCAACTTGGTAAGGAGTGGGCAAGACAAGGACAATATCAAAGTCGGTCTTGACTTTAACAGAAAGTGTCTCATAGGCACTTCCACTGTGCATGATATTGGCTTTAGACAGTAGTGTGCCGTGAGAATTCATCAGTTGTGCTCTAAGAGCACTGACAAAACTATCCACAATCTAAAAAATAAAGTCCATATTAATATAGATGTGAAATCAAATACTGTACATATTATTATTATTTGATCTTATTTTAGTTATTTTATGTTAAATTTGCTTCAACGTTTTAGTTTAAAATAAAGTTTGTACATCAATGGCATATTCTTAAGTGTAGCTAAGAGAGCTGTGTAAATGAAGAGATTGATAGACAGGTGCAATGGTGGTTTTGAGTATGTGATAATGTGTGTGTGTGGGGTTGCAAGTGTGTGGGTATTTGTGAGTGTATGGGGTGTAATTACTCAGGTAATTACCTAAGTGTAGTCACAGGGTGAGAGCTAAGCTCGTGGTGTCCCGTCTTCCCAGCGCACTGTCGTATAACGCCTTGAAACTGCTGACGGTTTGTGGTCTCCACCACCGTCTCACTTGGTCAAACCATCTACTACTCTGTTTGCACAACTGAATTTTCAAATTTTTCCTTGGCAGTTTGTTACTTTCATTTGAACTTGTAATTTTTCTTTGTCAATTTTGTTTATACCTGTACACAGTGATCATATCATCTCTTTTTCTTCTATCTTCAAGCTTTTATATATTTAATGGCACTATTGCTATTCCTCATAGCTATTTGTTTCAGCTCCGAGATCCATTTGGTTACATGTCTCTACACCTCTTTAAGTACTGTATATTGATGTGCTTCTTGAGATATGGGCACCATAAAACTACTGCATATTCCAACTTTGGTCTCACAAAGGTCATGAACAATTTCTTTAATATTTCGCCATCCATGTACTTAAAGGCGAGTAGTCGTAAGCATGGCATAAATCCTTATACAATGTTCTTTATGTGGTTCTCAGGTGACAGTTTTCTATCCAAAACCATCCCTGATCTCTAGAGTGGAGGAGAGGTTATGGTGGTGGCTGAGTGTGGACATGGTTGTGTGGTGGTGAGAGTAACAGTTGGTTAGAAGGGAGGTGGTTGTGTAATTAACTAAGTGTAGTTACAGGATGAGAGCTACGCTTGTGGTGTCCCATCTTCCCAGTACTCCTTGTCTTATAATGCTTTGAAACTACTGACATTTTTGGCCTCCACCACCTTCTCACTTAACTTGTTCCAACCGTGTACCACTCTGTTTGCAAAAGTGAATATTCTTCTATTTCTTCGGCAACTTTTTTAGTTAGCTAAATCTTTCATCTCTTGTTCTTGAAGTTCCAGATCTCAGGAATTTTTCCCTATCAATTTTGTCGATTCTCGTTACTATTTCGTATGTAGTGATCATATCGCCTCTTTCTTCTATCTTCTAATTTTAGCAAATTTAATGCCTTTAACCACTCTTCATAGCATTTGGCTTTCAGATCAGGTAGACATGTACAGTAGTTGCATGTCTTTGCACCTTTTCTAGTGTGTTGATGTTGTTAAGATATGGGCACCATACATGGTTGTGGGTGAGAGGACAGGTGGGTGTACAGTGGTTCATGAGAGAGGTGGTCGTGTGATAGAGCTTGAGATAGGTGGTGGTTGTGTGATAAAGCTTGAGGTAGGTGGTGGTTGTGTGGTGGTAGCACAATTCCACAGTCACGGATCCTATATACTTATAAATACTGACCTCAGCATTTTGATGAATTTGAGCCGTTATTTTCCTGTTCAGCTCCCCGAGAATGCGATTTACCATCTGGTTCTGAAATGTTCAAAGTACTTTATGGTTAAACTAAACATTTTCTAACTGGATGAGGTAATAAGATATGTGTAAGTACTTCATTCATAATGATGTGCTGCCGGGAATCTTAGCGAAGTATCCAAAATTTACTTACTGTAGGTAATGCATGCACATGACTCTAAAGCTGCCGCCCAGTTGGGTGGGTGTGCAGCAAGACTAGTAACTGTGGGATTCACCATAGATGTAAAGTGCCTTGTATAGTAGTGATTGTTGTGAGCCTCTTGTTGAATCACTTGTGATACAAAAAGATTATCGATATGTATATGTATTTGTGTAAATGATTGTATATATATGTACATATATATATAACATTAATAATTGTGTAACTAGCTTCAAAAGAGTGTTAGTTGCTTAGCTAAATGAACTATGGGTTCAATTCCTGAGACCATTATGTGCCTCTGTAAGTGGTGGTGACAAGCTGATTTATGTATAATATGAGTTAAGTGGCAAATGATGACTATGATGACTTTGATAATGTCCTGACATCATATATGAGGGGCCACCATCAGGTGTGAACTTAAAGGTCATGCCCCTGGTGTGACCCAGAGGAAAGGTGTGGCCATTATGTGCCTGGTGGTCACACCACCGCCCACGGCATGGGTATTGGGTGCTTAATAAAGAAAGAAATTGGATGGGTTAATAATATACAAGTAACAATTACATGTTAAGGGTCCCGGTTGTACAGTTGGGTTCGTTCTCGACTCACAGTTGAGAATTCCGTGTTCAAATCCCAGGCGAAACAGAAATGGTTGGGCGCATTTTGTATCACCCAATGCCCCTGTTTACCTAGCAGTAAATAGGTACCCAGGAGTTAGCTTGTTGTGGAGCTGCATTTTGGGGAAGGTCAGTAGTTCGACCCTGAGAAGGGGGCGGGGGGGGCGGAGATAATGATATAAGCCTAAGGTACGTACGTGCATTTATTAATATTCTTCAAAATTTGCTACAAATTACTTACTTATACTGCCCGAAACGCTGTGCATGTTAGTGGCTTTGCAAGAATCTACAAACATCAATGTTATGTACTTTCACAAGCCCAATGTACTGTCTTGAAAAAATAAATAAATAAACGTGTTCTCACCTATTTGTGCCTGCAGGATCAAGCGTTGGCTCTTGGATCCCGCCTTTCTAGCCGCCGGTTGTTTAAAGCAATGATTCCTGTCCTATTTCCCTACATATCTAGTTTTAAAATTATGAATAGAGTTTGCTTCCACAACCCGCTTTATTTATTTATTTATTTTATTTGTTTATTTATATACAAGAAGGTACATTGAGGTTATAAGAGTACAGAGACTTGAAGCTTTACATTCTTGTAAAGCCACTAGCACGCATAGTGTTTCGGGCAGATCCTTAATCTAACATATAATTTTAAGAAGGTTATATCTAGCAAAATTTAAAAAATGTTTACAAGTACATTGTAAAAAAGTATAAAAATACATTGTAAGGAAGTATAAAAATACATTGTAAGAAGGTATAAAATGCATTGTAAAGAAGGTATAAAAAAATACATTGTATAAGAAATTTGATAGAAAAAGGTAGGTATATTAAAGTAAATTTAAGGGTTATCCACAGTTACATTTTTAACATAATTTGAGGATTATTGCAAGATATAATGTAGTCAGTTACTTGCTTGGTCAGAAGAGGACAATGAGTGTTGAAAAGGCTTAGAATTTTGGAAAGGAAGAGGTTAGTTAATGAATTTACATCCTGAGTATTATTAAATTCAGATTCCCAGTTTATATTGTGGAATGCATTTGTGAGATTGCCAATTGCTGCTTCACTGTGTAACCTAATGGTAAGTTTCTTGTTAGCTGGTGGTGTTATGTCCATGTTCGCTACGAGGAAGGTAGGATAGTGGTCAGTTGTTCTGTCAGATGCAAGGGGAGCTGTTATGTTAGTCCATAAATGATCCAAGGTAGTAGCGGATGTTTGAGTGATTCGAGTGGGCCTGGTGATTGTGGGGTACATACAGGAGTTCATGCTGTTTAGGAAATAGTCGACTTGAGGGCTATGTTGTTGACACAGGTCAATATTGAAGTCACCTCCCAGAATGATGTGATTTTTGTTGAGGTTGTTTATAATAAGATTCCTTAGGTTATCTGAGAATGCAGCTATGTTAGTATTAGGAATCTATAGATAGCTCCAATAGTCAAGGAGGATTTAAGGAATTTAATCGAGAAATGAGCAAAGGTATATTCACAGTAGTCATCTCTAATGACACTATTGCAGATGAAGGTATCTTGGTAATATATAGCTGTGCTACTTCCTTTATTGTTAGGCCTACAGTTGTGAATGGCTCTATAACCAGCTAAGTTGTAAAGTTGGGTATGGTCATTGTTGGAAATTTTCCAACACTAGTACATCATTTTTGTATAACAATACACCATTATTGTATTAACCCATAGTAATTAATAACTCTAACACGTAGAATTAATATCGGTGGTGTTTCTATAGTAAGGCATAATTTGCCAAGAAAATTCCCAACCCTCATGACGCCGAGCGTCGATAACAGGCTGACATATGAAATCTTCCACGTTGTTGGAGATTTATAGAGTTCAGTTAAATGTCCTTTTTTTCTAAAATATTGTTCATTATGGAAGAAATAATAGTTTTGCATCCTTATGCGTACTGAACTCGACTATTTGACTAAATTAATTATTACAGTAAATATTACTGCCACGTAAATCAAATACACATCGACCCTTCTCGTTTAATTTGTGCAGTGTTAATTAAATCAATTGCCTTACGAGAAGAGGTATTATGATTCAAGATATTTATTCGTGACGTTAGTATAAGTCGAACTTCCTTATTTCCCCAAATAATTACTAGTAAATCAAATTAGTTTAAGATCAATACCGCAATGAGTATCTCTGCGCCGGCGTGTCCGAGCGGGAGGGAGAGAGGAAGGCGTCTTTTCTGCCATACAACTCCACCACGAGCACATGCAGATTTGCAAGCGGCAGCCATTGCAGATAGAACATGTGGTCGAACAGTGCTAATAATACTGTTAATTCTCACGTCTGAGAATACAATTATATCCTGAAATTAGACCTTCAACAGCAGTGAACGTCACAGACTAACAGACGTGATATCGACGAGATTAAATGTTTCAACAGGCCTACGTTAAGTATTTTTTATATAGAGTGCACTTTATCATAAATTATAACTGTAGGTTGCTCACCGTTATATCATCTACCGACCACAAAACCCACGTTAGTTTCTTTTCATGTTGTTCCCGATTTCTCAGTGAATAGTGGAATAAATCTCTAGCCTAGTCAATTTCTATAAAATTTCTGTAATTGCAGCGTGTTGGTGAGGACAAGCAGATAAATTCTTCCTCTACATGCGATTTTCCCCCGTCGGTGTTTCATCCACTACTTGGGTGATATGATCACCCAATTCAAATACTCGTAGACATCTACAAGTATTTGAATTGCGAAACGGGATTATTGAAGTCTTCCTACAGCTAAGCCCTTCCATTCGTTATATCGTAGATAATAGAGTTGCTATGATTAATTCTAATATTATTTCTGATATAGGTATTCTGCCTTTTTATGCATATAATAATCCAAGAGATACTACATAACATAAATTTAATACATTGATTGCTTAGTGTGTTGCAATTTTCACACACATAAATTTCTATGATTTACTAATATTTCTTAGGCTTCATTATTTTCTATATTATCATAATATTTGAATCTACATTTAATTTCTGTTTCTATAATCTTTAATGTTGTAATTAACCAACTGGTGACGAACCAGCACCAGTCATTATCCTTGATATATATTAATTTCTAGTAATACCCCCCAAATGTTGAAGTGAAAATTTTAACTCTCAATTAATCATTTTCACAGTCTATTCATGTTTTTCAAAATATTTTCCAAATAATTTATCATCCATAGGCACTGGTATTTCAGTGTTAGCTTTATGATTCCCTTTATTTGTTTTCTCTCTTTTCTCAAAAGTGGGTGGTCCTTCGAGTTTATCGATTTCTTAATTAAATAGTATTATATATGAGTTAAAGTTCTCATTATCCAACAGTCATTACTTAACCACGTTTCTGATAAAATAATGAACGATAGTTTAGTATCTAGTGCTGTGAGTAGTGCAATTATATCATCAAAATGTTTACAAAGCGATCTGACATTTTGGTTGAAAACTGATAAGCAAGTGTTATTTTGGAGTTTGTTTTTTGCCAAGAGTAGTGTGTAATACCTGCAGTAGTGATGATCAATATGCTGGTTACTGTAAATTTGCGACAGCAGATTTATATATATAATATATATATATATAATATATAAAATATGTTTATTCAGGTAAGGTACATACATACAAGTGATGTTACATTAATGGATCAATATATAGATAGAGCTAGTACATACAATGCCTAAAGCCACTATTACGCAATGCGTTTCGGGCAGGAAGAACATTAATATCTAGAACTTAATACTAATTGAGCATAAAGAATAAAATATGTTGAGAACAAATACAAATAAAGATAAAAAAAAAGGGGGAACATGACTGAAAAGCAGCACAAATACAATAGGTTGACAAACAGTGTTCATTAAAAAAAATAACAGACATGGGTTGACAATAGAGGGGTAAGGTAGGTTACAGGGAATTAATTAGGTAGTGTTTAGTTTTTATCTTAAACTTGTTGAGAGAGGTACAGTCTTTAACATGGTTGGGAAGGTCATTCCACATTCTGGGCCCCTTGATTTGTAGAGCATTTCTAGTTTGATTAAGTCGTACTCTAGGAATATCAAAACTGTATTTATTTCTGGTGTAGTGCTCATGGGTTCTGTTACAACCTTCTATGAAGCTTTTGAGATCAGGATTGGCATTATAGTTTAGTGTTTTATATATGTATAATACACATGAGAGAATGTGCAGTGACTTAATGTCTAACATATTCAGAGATTTGAGTAGGGGTACCGAGTGATGTCTGGGGCCAGAGTTG